GAAAAAGAGAGAACATATTCATGATGAATTTGTTTTGGGGAAGGGAGGAAGCACTGTGTACAGAAGGAGCAGCTGTGGAGTTAAGTTGATGCAAATGGAGTTGGATAAAACACATACTCAGAAAGGAAATAAAAAAAGTAAAGAAATCAATGCCAATACAATAAAGCAAGTCTTCTTTTGGCTGTTCCTACATTCACCTAAAATGCATGAGCTAGTTTTTCCAATATCTGGCAGTTTTCCACTAGTCAATCAGTGCTATACCATTCAATTCTCTCAGTGCAGAAAAAACACCCGCTGAAGAGAGAAAAGGTGGCTGATGGGAACTAGAATAAGGCGGAAAGATTATGTGAAAAAATGTGTGCCTGCCACTAGAGTGCTTCCCCTACTCAAAGTCAAATCAGAACTCAGTCATGCTCTGGTGATCTTTTACGGTAGGAGGCAAGAAACCATGAAGATTTAGAACTTCACATGTTCCACGGAAATTGTATAAGTTCATATGTACATGCAAAGTGTGCGAGAGAGAGAGAGAGAGAGAGAGAGTCAGGAATGTATAGTCACAAAGTGAAATGATAGACTAACCATTCTGAAACACAGTCTGCACAGAATATGTGTTTACAACACAATAGAATTGGAGCATGCATCTTCTCCTGGCAAATAGCACACAGGTCTCCTGCTGCATTGACCTGTGTTAAAATCATTGATAGCTTAGGTTACAAGAATAAGTAAAATCCAACTGTGCAGGAATTACATGTTCTATAATTGAATGTGTGATGATAACAAGACTAAAAACAAAAAAATATGGTAGGATATTCTTTTTCTCTCTCACCAAAAGAGGGAAGGGATTTGGCACAGCAAATTGGATGGAATTGAATGAAAAAAGAAAAAGACAGTGTCGTACATGGCCATGAGTTCCTCATTTGCTACGTAGCTTAAAATAGGGATATTTTGTGTTAAAAGGAACAAAAGAAGTTGGCCCTGAAACTACTTAAAAGGTAAACTGGGAAACATGTTTGTGTTTCACAGCCATAGTATATACCAGCCAACTCCCAAATTGAGCTCTATACATTTCTGGATATTTACAGTCAAAGGCATCCTATTACCTGTTCTGCCGTGGCATAAGACCCATAATGGACTTCCTTCCGTGATAATGCCTTCAAGGAAGCAAAGAATGACTGGACCTGAATAGCAGAGGAGGGGGAAGAAAAGGGGCCCGCGGGGGGGAAGGGTGGGAGGGAGAGAGAGTTAACCACCACACATCTAATTACTTGAACTGAGTTGGGATAATAAGCGGTCGGGCTACCATACCTTTTCAACCACTGATGTAAGCTTGAAAGTTAAGTACAACCCTGTAGTCAGTGCCGAAAAAAGACTTCCATACTCTTTGTTCAATAAGAAACGATACCAGACAGGTGTAGGTAACAAGGCTCGGTATAACAGCAGCGTGTACTCAACCAAAGTCAGCATTTGACCCTAGAGGATCAATTTCTACTGTCAGAGAGTTCTGACATATTAAAAGATAGATCTCATGACATAACTTCTGTATTATCCACTGAATGGCTTCACATTACCTGCCTGCGGAAATTGTGGCCCCTGCCATTCTTATAATACATTAGCAGCACCAATTTCAAAGCCATTGCTACCTGCCGCACCATTGTATCTGGACGTAGTAGTATGCCGAATGAATATTCCAAGAAGAATGACAGACTGAATTACAGGATATACTAATCATGATAACAACAGGAAATATAAGAAAGAAACATGGATCAAATCATCAAATTTTAGATCAAACAATGCACATAAATTGTCCACCCCATGGTAAGATTGGGAAAAAAATACAGAGAGAGGGACATAATGCATGCCTGGGGAGGAATGTTCTCGAACAAGCAAACAGAATGAACAATAAACACAATTAAGTAAAGCAACACAATAAATCAAGGGAACAATTATGGCCACACAGTAACCTGAACCACTCAAAATGGGGACACTGCCAGACACACTAAATCAATTGTGATTTTTTAACCAGGGTAGCCACAGCACATGATTGCTTGCATCAACAATATATGTGTGCAATGCCATACAGTAACACATGCATTGCAAGAACCTATAAGGAGTCAAAATCCATACCATTTACCAAAATGATGAATATTGCATGCCAGAAAGGTGGTATTGCTCTTGGTGGAACCATAACCAGTGGGTACAAAAGATAATTATTCCGAAACCAGCAGTAAACTCCAAGAACATGAAGCATGAAAACTGTAGAATAGCAAACAAGAACAGATATTCTTCTCTCCCCCTGCAGAAAGCAGCAATGGCTGTAGTTTTCCTTTTTACACTTTTCATGGTGGTTGCGTCAGTTTTCTCCTTAAAAGATTTTCTTTTTTTTTTTTTAGGAGAGGGGAAGGAGGGGGGGGGGGGGTTATTTGCAAGACTAATACCAATTTTACTTCAAAGAATAGAAGATACATGCACCTTTAGAGCTGTCTGCTTTTGAAGAATGTCGTTTGATTTGAAAATGAAAGCAGTTATCCAAATGGTGACAAAGAAACCTGCGAGTCCTTGTAGCAAAGATTACCCCATGTCAGAAACAAAAAAAATTCAGTCCATGAGTCAAGTAAAACCATGTACATATGATAATCACAACATTATCCATTAGAGAAGATACAATTCCATATCCAAATATGTAAGATACTACCACCTTGTGTAAAGCATCTAGAATGCAGATAGAAACTGATATTTTGAAAGGAAATATAACAATTTAACGATAAATATTAAGAGTGCAAAAGAAACATGGCTATAAACCTTCATACTTTGCCATAAAACCCACAGGAGAAGAAAATCAGTTTATCGATAAGCCAAATAGAAAGTCATGATCATGACTGAGTTATCACTGCAAGGTTTGCAACAGAAAACACCAAAAATTTCTTAAAAAGAATTCGTCTAAGAATTTGCTACTTGATAACACCATTAATGATGCTTTTGCCAAAGAACCTTGTGACATGAGTCTTATATCCAGCCATTCAAAACCTTTATCCAGTGGGAAACCAAAGACCGAGTATCGTAATTTTTTTTTTAAATCAAAAGGCACATCCACACCCTTTCCAGCATTTCCCTTGCTCTATACAACCATCTATTTGCACCAGAATCGGAAACCAAAGACCGAGTATCGTAATTTTTTTTTAAAATCAAAAGGCACATCCACACCCTTTCCAGCATTTCCCTTGCTCTATACAACCATCTATATGCACCAGAATCTTCATTAGCACTGCCAACAATCTGCAATAAACATATTCAAACAATCTCATATGCTTCTTGTTTGTCACATAGGATACCTATGTCGGACCACTTTGTGTAAAAGAACTAAACAAATCATCCTACAACATACCCTCAAACCTGAATCCACGTTAAATTTGGTCTTATACATATTAGCAACACTAAAACATCATTTATAGAATCTGTAGTACGCAAAATGACCACTACCCACATTACCAGTTAGGAAACACAATTCATAGATTGCAAGAGTTCTTCTACACCATGCTACAGAGTAAAAACATGATCCATAAATTGCATAAAAATAGTGCTTTTCCTGTACCCAAATCAGTTCATTTCAACTGAAAATCAACACAAAACACAACAATGAGTGAGAATAGAAAAGGTCACTTGATTACCTTGCAAGTGCTGGCGAATGAATACCACCAATAAGAGCAAAGAAAACGGAAGAACATGTTCAATCCACCTCGCAACCTGCGGTATATCATACCTCTGGTATGTTAAATCCCTATTACTGCCACTCGCACCATCCCCATCACCCGAATCAGCCGCCACCATCGCGGGTAAGCCAGAACCCCTATCTCCATCCACACCTCCACTTCCATTACCACCTTCCACCAACACCGGTCCCACCGCCACTCCAATATGCCCCACAGTCTCATCATTACCAGCCCCAACTGGGTCTTGCTCTCCGGCTCCAAATATCCGAATCGAAACCTCCCCATTACCACTACTAGGGCTAATAGAACTAGAATCGCTGAAATCACCGGTCACAAGAGCCACAGTTTCGGAAATGTTGGGTGGTGGCCGAAGAATGCTGGAGTATTCTAATAGAACTGATACTTGTGCTTGAAAGAAGCGTAAGGGGTTGATTTGCGAACCGTACCTTGTTGAATTGTTATTACTTGTTGGTGAAGAAGGTGCAGAACTAGTGTACGTATCAGTACTTGTATGACCTGTTGGTTCCATTCTTGAGCTACCTTCTATACACTTGAAAATAATTATATATTAAAAAAACCCCTAATCTCTAGTGGCGTCTTCAGTTCCTGCAAATCTTCGTGATGATAAACAGTCCAAAGAGTGTGAGAAGCCTGTAGAGGGTCAATGGTGGGTAGATAGATTAATATTTACATATAACCAACTGTTGATATTCAATATGTGTACAAACAGAGAAGAAGAAGAAATCTTGTAGGTTATCTGAAAATGGAGATGGATTCCTCCTGTAATTATCTTGGAGGAAGGTGAAAAATGGTGTAATTCCTTGTTCTTTTCTTGTGGTATTCAGCTTCCTTAATGTCTAATTTCGTACGCGGTCCGAAAGCCGACTAGGCGGTGATTACCACATTGTGCCAAAATCAGACATATTTGTTTATGTTTGATGGTACAACGTTTAAACTCAAATCTGTTTATTACGTGCCCATCAAGCTATCCTTCCCCCCTATTTTCTCTTACTTGTTTATTCTGTGACATTAAAGTTTTTTTTTGCTGTGATAATAGTCGAGAGGTATTCACACCGCTTACAATACTAGAATAACATTACCAAACATGCAAAATAACTCAATTTCGCTTGCATCAAGGATAACTCTCATTATAAGCATCAAGAAAGTCCATTAATTTTGTTCACTTTTCCATTATCTTGTTCTTAATCCCTCCAATTTATTTGAACTTTGAAAGTGACCGTGAATGTATAGTAACAATTAAAGTAAAAAACAACTCTAGAATGGTTGGGGGATAAAAAAAAAAAAAACAAAGATGCCTTATGCTGACACTTCGCAGAGCTTCTTTGATATTGGATTGGAAAATATACGATCTTGTCCCATAATTAAACGTCTAGTTTATTGTATAAACTGTCTGGACCAAACTCTTATTTCAATTTTTTTCCCCGTGGAATCATTGTTGTTAGTACTTACATGGTAATGCATTGAAAATTGACCAACTTTGGTTTTAATAAAAGTTAGATTAAGCATAAATTGACCCCTGACTGAAAATCTAGGCTGCAAGGGGCAAATTGATGAAAAATTTGTAGCAAATCTTAAGTAACGACCTAAATCATGACCAAAATAGACAGCACAATGCACCACGTTCCTGTCACGGCAGATTCTCAGGGAGGTCGGATATATGCAACTTTATTGCAAGTGTGAAAGAGACTGGTTAAAACAATACAATAGCATCCCAGACAGTTCCAGAGCATAGTTCAAGAGCAGAATTTCACCCATGGCACTTCCATAGTACTGCAGATCCTCAAACAATGCGCAGATCATTGGTCACTCTCTCCAATTATCCTTCCACTGCCTTATCTCCCCTAAAGCTTCAACAGGGTACTTGCAACCAAACCTCTCCAAACATGATCGTCAATTTTAAAATCCGTTGAAAACCCAGCTCGAAACATATATCCACAAGTCAATTTGTTGTCTAGTAAGAATTTTCTAGGTTTTAGATACGTTTCATTCAACTTGGAGGAGGAACAGTGGATTGAATCGGAGACACATCCCAGAACTCGAAGGTGTTCACACTCAAGACAAAGGATCCGCTGTTTAGATCAAGCATTGCTTCAGGCTGTGTGATCATCACTGTTAAACAAGCAGTTTCTAAGTGTTGATAGTCTTGCTTGCAATATATGCTTCCTGAGTTAATTGTTGATTTTTTACTCAAGCACCATGAGAACAGAGGTGGGTGAATTGTTTTACTTGAAGAAGCTGAGAAAAGTAAGCCAAATTTTACTTCTACAGAAGCCGCTAACAAAGATGTGTGTGTGTGTGTGTGTGAGAGAGAGAGAGAGAGAGAGAGAGAGAGAGAGAGAGAGAGAGAGAGAGAGAGAGAGAGAGAGAGAGAGAGACCTACTGGCATGCAATTAGGTGTCAGAAATTCCCCTATACCCTTCTTTCTCAAGAACTTGAGCCAAGGAGATGTCTCCAGTCTTCACAATTCTCCCATCCTCCTAGAAGAAAAATGGCTCATCATGAATAAAACTAAGGGAAAGATGCACACTTAAAAATACTAACTACGGATTCAACATCAAAGTAAAGAAGCTGAACTAAAACAAATGATGGCAATATTTCATACTACATATGTCAAGGCCGTAATATCCTTAAAGCATTTCATTACTTCAAAAAGGAGAAAAAAAAAAAAAGGAAACAAAAAATAACATAATTAACCATTCGATAGTAAGGAGAGACCACATTAACCATTGTTTAACCGACAACGCCGATTGCTTTTAGCAAATGCAGGACAAACCTAATATTACATGCCAGCTAAAGGAGTGGAAAATTTGATTGTGACTGGAAAAATGTCATACACAAATATCCCCCTTTAGAGAAGGATCAGTGCCAGTATAGCAGACAATTTAAATGCACCATCGGAACCATCAAATATAGTTAGAGGAATTGTAGGTGGGGCACATTCTTAACCTTACTTTAGGAGATAGATCCTTGAGTGGTACAGTGGTGTTTTAACCAGACTATTTCATGGCATAAACAAAGAAGCCAAATACTACAGCAGATAACCTTCCACATGCAGCTACATGGATCATTCAACTTTTCCTTTTTTGGTGTTTGAATGATTCAACTTGACATTATTTAAAATTCTATATCTTATAGTTCTGAAAATACAATACAAAGAACAGTTTGCTTACCATAATGTGAATGTAGGTTGGCTTAATGAATTCCAAGAGACGTTTATAATGAGTAATCATCAAAACAGAATTCTTAGGGGTCAAGAGCCCATTCACTGCGTTTGCCACATCTCTAAGTGCGTCAACATCCAAGCCAGAATCAATTTCATCTAATATAGCCAAATCAGCACCAAGAATCTGTCATAAAAATGGACAAAGAAATAGAGCAACATAAGAATAGAAAGTTCTTTAGTGTCAAATTTAGTGCCTTGAATTAAGATATTTATACATTCAAAGACACCTTAAAAATAAAATACATGGTAACATGTTATGGGAAAAAGAAAAGAAAGGAAAATGAAAGTCGATACTATGCGTTACAAAACCCAGCAGTTGCCATCTTTTGGCCTCCCAAGCTTTCAGCATTGTCCGTTTTCTAGAAATGTAGCTCCCTCACAAGGAGCTGAGCCAAAATCCCCACTCGCAGGATCATACTGCCACTACCACTGCCATCAAATCTATTACTTTACTGAGTAATTTGTGGCACACTTTCTTCTTCTTTCACTAAGCATTGGAAATTTGCATTACTACTGCCCACTATCTTTAAATAAGATAACTACTCTGTTTAGAAGGCCCCTCGGCATTCAGTGATGGTCCTCTGATATGCATTACCCTTTCCTGTTACCTATATCATCCTAATGTTTTAATTTACAGTAGATAGGTGAGGAAAAGAGAATAATATTCTTTGGGTCAAGATGACACAAGAAAACAAATTCCTTTTGAATTAAATCCATACCGCAAGTTGTAGAATCTCATTGCGCTTCCTTTCACCTCCACTAAAGTTCTCATTAACGTTTCTGTTTAAGAAGTCAATCTCCATATTCACGAGTTTAAGCTTTGGCGCAATGAACCCGTAGAACTGCAAGGACAAAATACCATCAGTGAATAATAAAACAGATGAAGATCTAACTTTCTGCCCAATTCCTCAATGCCAAAAAATACAACTGATATACCAAAAGAAGTAAGCATGACAGCTATACATATTAAACTAGCAGCTACTGTTGCTAAGTCATATCAGTGCCATGCAAAAGCATATGGCAAATGCATATATGATTAATCAGAGACGTTCCAAATGACTGGCTGCAGAATTAATACTATAAGCTTGAAATTACAGCTATTAGGGCCATGACTAACTTCAGAATGCTTAGAGACCACTTCTTCCCTACTCGGACCTCAGCCCACCCATCCACCTCCCTCCACCCCAAAAAAAATAAAAAATAAAAACAAAACAGAAAACCTGCCCAGGGAAGGGGTGGTTCACATGTGTAAAGGGTTCACATTTACGGGAGGTTTTGGTCATTATTTTCTGTCTTCTTGTTTTCTGGTTTTTTAGTATGTTCCCACTTGAATGATTCTTTATCAGTATTCTCAAGTCTCACACTTCTCTATCTCCCAAAACTTTTTCCTAGATAGAGGAGAATAGTATAGAGATGTCTAACCCACAAGAAGATGTCATTTAGAGTTGCAAACAATAATGTACCTCAAGTGGTTCAAGCTCCGGCAGACCAAGTTTTCTTCTTCGAGCATTGTATGCCATGTTCAGAAAGTCTATATTACTCACTCCAGGGATTTCAATTGGGGATTGAAAGCTCAAAAAGAGCCCAGCGACAGATCTTTCCTCAGGTTCCATTCCAAGCAAGTTCTCACCTTTATACATGGCACTGCCTCCTGTAACCTCATAATCTGGATGACCGACAAGGACCTACAACAATTAAGTTCCTACTAAGAGCTTGGCAAAGACAGGACATCAATTTAGGTCAATAAACACTTGTCTTAAACAAACCCAAACACCAATTGCCAAAACTTTCTTAGTTAGACTGTCTTAAAGCCATTTGGAAAAAGGAAAAAACTGTTCTGTAGAGCAAAGAATGGAAAATAGACATTGCATAGTGATCCAAAAATTGCAATCCATAGCGAAGACATGTTTCACATTTCTCAAAAACTGATAAACTTCATTTTATTCATCTTTTCACAAACAGTCATATTTGTGGGAGGGGGAAAAAGGAGTGAGTACGGTTTCAACCATAACATTCATAGCTTCACGGAGCACAAGCACTAACCTTTGCAAAAGTGCTCTTCCCAGAACCATTCTTCCCCATTACAGCATGAACCTAGTCAAATAGGAACAGAACAGAACAGAATTAGAGATACAATTCAATGGTAAGTAATCATGAATTGATAAGTTTTATCTTTGGTACTAACATGACTTGCTAAGTTTCCATTAGCTGACGGTGCAATGAATTCAATATGGTTTTTGTTAAAATTCACATCCACTGATTAAAGAAACATAGTGACAAAACGAGTGTGGCAGAAAAGAAAATGTTAAGGTAAATGTGTGGAAAAATTAGAAAGGATAGAATATGAAATGACCAAAAATAATAGGAATAGCTCCGAATGAGAACAAGTTGAAATGGAATAAATTAAGTTGGTTCGGTCATATTCAATAGGCCGATAGAGGCATCAATTAGAAAAAATGATAAAATTTCTTTTAATGGTAGTAAGAGCAGGAATAGACCTAAATTAACAATAAACAAAATAATAAGAAAAGATATGCGCACCACCGAAATGAATGATGAAGGCAGACAAGTATAACCGACCATAAATAATACAGACTCGTATAACCGATCACAAATGATTAGGACATAAGATATGGTTTGATTTGATTAAGAAAAATCGCAATCTATTCAACACTCTGACTCTGTTAGTTACGGAGGTATAAGGAACTCGTGATACACACTGCTAATCATCGAGATTGCTCGATTTCTTAACTTAATTACTGAAGCAATTGCTTACACGCACCTATACTCGTCGGGACTGAATAAAGATAAGAAAATGGGATTGATACCTCTCCTTCGTAGACGGCGAGGTTTACGCCATTAAGAATCGTCTCTTTGGATTCCGAGATCACGGCGGAAAGTTCTTTGACCTCCAATAGAAGTTTCGGAGACTCTACGCCGCGCTCGGTGCAGGAATTCGCCGAAGGTTCGACGGTGAGAGTCGCTTCCAACCTCTGAAACAAGGATTTTCGGGGAAAACGGCGACTTTGAGGGCGGATGGCAGAGACGGTAAATAATTGGTGATTAAATTTCGAATTTCGGAAAGAGAGAAGAGAAGGCAGCGACGGTGGAGTTGAATAGCAGCAGCAAGAATGGAGGAGAGCCATCGGAGTTGGAATCGGAAGCAATGACGACAAGTGAAGAAGAAGAGGATGTATAGTGTATACATATTGCTGGGAAAAAGTACACTTTGACCCCTCAACTATGAATTTGATTTCATTTTATAAATTAAACTATTAAATATTTTAAATCACTTTCTCAACAAATTGAGTTAGTGCAAATTATCCCAACACAAACTTCTGTAATATTTTTTGATAAAAAATTTCCGACTAGCTAGGATAAAATAAAACAAAAATATACTTGATAAAATGAAATATATTTCCATAAAATTGATAACGAACGTTAATAATTAGGGTAGTGTGAAATTACTTATTTAGTTAAAGTATAATATGAAAAATATGATAGTTTAAGGGTAATGTGAAAAACTATTATAGTTTTGGGGTTAAAGTGTAACTGTATCACTAAAATATATCGAATACCGCGCTACATTAGAGCGGGCTAATTTGGATTGGGTCACGACGTTTAAGCCTGGATAGCTTGAATCTAATTATGCGATTCGGCCCAATAAAGCTTTCTTGGTTTCCCGAGCGAAAGGAATGGATTGAAATCCAGTTCCATATAGACCATACATGGATCTTGGATTTGGGTTGGATAAGAGAGTTGGATTTAGCCAAATAATCCGATCCATTGATTTATCCCTTATTGGTAGGCTTGTGATTTGGATCGGATTTTGATTAATCCAAATTTAATTTCAAATGAATTTTATTTTCGTAATCTATATTCAAATTCATAACAATCCGGAATCTGACTTGAACCAATCCAAATAACCAAATTTATCTAATTTTCAACTAATTTTTTTTTAAATAATCACTTAATTTTTAAAAAAATATATAAATAATTCATATTGAATTGAATATATGTATATCTAAATCCAAAATCAAAATCTGTGAAATATAAGAATTCAGGTTTGAGTTTGGATTTGGGTTTAGATTCGAGTTCGAATTATCGATAAAAAATATTAATTCATATCCGATTAATCGGATTCAAACTTAAATCAAAATTCAATCCATTAATAAATCTACTTATTTGGATTGATTTTTGGGGCTCATGATTTGCATTTCGGACTCGGATGCAAAAGTTTAGTAAAACTACAAAACTCTCATCTGACATTATTTCTTCTTTGGGACCCCTATATTAAGCGCAGGACAAAGACATACATGAAATGTCCACTCTTGTTGGTTTCGACGAAATTTCTATCTCACGAAATTTTCTTCTTTCAGACCTTTACATTACGGGTAAGACAAAAGAATTATATGAAATATCTAGTCTTCTTATTAGTTTCGACAAAACTCTTTTTCATATAATTTTCTTATATGAGTAGGATAAAGAATTATATGAAATATCTAGTATTTTTGGTTTTGACCAAACTCTTATTTGACTTATTTTTCTTTGGAATCACAATAATCAGTGTTCATCAAAGGATTATATAAGAAATAGTTCTGTAAAAATATAATTTATACGTAAAGCTAATGAGTAATCTATGACAATCGTATAATAAAAAGTGAAATGTCAAGTCATTCTCTATTAAAACAACAAGCACGTGTTCGATTAATATAAAAAGAGATCACCCAATCACTGATCCTATTAACATCCAATAATTATTATTTTACCAAAACATAATTTGACTTATAGAATTTGATAACATAAAAAGTTAGTAGATGCGCCTATACTCATCCAATATGTTTTTTTTTTTTTTGGTCAAGAAATTTAAAATTCTATAAATAAGAAACATAAAACCCTTTACAGTTCGATTCACTCATCCTATACTTCTCTTCTAACCTCCAACCTAACAATATGCATCATAGAATGAGGGAGCCACTCCTTCCCTTGTATATTAAGTTTCTCACTTCTAATATAGACTGCAAGCATATGGGCAACCTTGTTCTGGGTCTTTCGTGTTGCTTGAAACTTCACCTGAGAGTAATTGAGTATAGCTTCATATGTCCTTTTGTAATGCTGCAATCTCCTTCAAAGTATCTCCATTGTTCCCATTGGGAGAATCTATGAGCTGCTTTGAGTTAGATTCAACAATGATTGCATCATAGATCTGTTTCACAGCAGTCTTGCACGCTTGCCTGACTGCATAAGCCTATGTCATTAAGACAAAAGCTGTAACCACAATTTCAACCTTCGCCATGACCACGCTACCTTCACAATCTCGAACTACGATAGCATAAGCTCCCTCCTTTGTCCTTTCCACCCAAGCTCCATCACAATTAATCTTCAAAACCCCCCAAGGAGGCAATTGCTGGGCCATTTCAGGCTCACCGGAGGAGTTCCCACCCTTTATAGGCACAACCTTGCAATTGTTCAATTCTTTCACCGCTGTTACAGCATTTGTGATAATAGATTTACTGCATTGGCTATTTATGGTTGAAAACCCAATAATTTCTGGACTTCCATGTGAACCAACATAGGTATATTAGTAGAGTTTGATCCTCCTATTCTTCTTCACCACACACCTTGCTGGATTGTAGCTGCCTAATAAACCAATTTTTAAATCTACTTATACCATACATGTTTATCTTAATGCTTAAAGGGCAATTCCTCCACATCTTTTGCACGCATAGACAAAGTAATAGCAAGTGTTCGGTGGTCTCTTCTTCCTCTCCACATATGGGGCAAGTTGGTGAATTTGACAGCTTTCTCCTCCATAGCTCCCATTTAGTTGTCAATGCTCTATTTGCAACTTTCCACATAAATGCTTGTATTTTGGGGTGAACCTTACGCTCTTCTGGAGCTTGATAAGATGAGGAGGCAGTGTCTCTGGCCTGAGGTGCTTGAGCTCTTTGTGCTTGCATATGATGCCCACTTTTAATAGTATATACTCCATTTCTTGTAAACTTCCATTTGATTTCATCAACCCGAGGTGTTTCACTAAGAGGGATAGCCAGTATCTCTTAGGGTTATATCTGTTGAAAAATTAATCTGCACCTCCTCAACCTTCCATCTTCTAGTTGTCGGGTTGATAAGTTCTTGGACTAATTGTATGTGGCTTTGTTGAATGTTGGGAATAGCTTTGTGCCCAGGAATCCACACATCCTCCCAACACTTAACTTGATTGCCATCTCCTATCTGCCGTATATGTCCTTCTGTAATCAACTCCCTCCCATCTAGCAAACTATTCCAAATCCACGAGCTTGATTTCTTGGGGCACACAGTCCAAAAATATTGGTTAGGGAAGTACTTTGCCTTCAAGATTTTAGCGCACAGAACCTCTGGATTATTCATGAGCCTCCATGCTGCTTCGCTAACATTGCAACATTGGACTGCTCAAGGTCCCTAAACCCCAGCCTTTCATCCTGCTTTCTTTTAGTTATTTGATCCCACTTTGTCCAGTGAATCCCCTTTTCCCCTGTAGACTTACTCCACCAAAAACTTCTCATTCTAGCCGTAATTTCTTGACATAAAGACTTTGAAAATTTAAAGATTGACATTGCATAGTTCGAATTGCCTGTACCCCTGCTTTAATAAGAATCTCTCTCCCAGCATGATTCAACATTTTTTCTTTCCACCCAACCATCTTGCTTAGAATTGCGTCTTTTATCCATCCAAGAGTTTGCTTCTTTGATCTCCACCATTCAGTTGGCAACCCCAGATACTTTCCAGATGAGTGCAGCAATGGCATCCTCAAAAACTCAGCTAACTCAAGTTGCCTTTGCAATGGAGTATTCTTACTAAAAATAACTCCTGACTTGTTTAAACTAATCCTTTGTCATGCAGCATAGCAATACTTATGTAACTCATTCAGCAACACTTGACATTGTGACTTGCTTGCCGTAGAAAAGAAAATGGAATCTTCAGCAAAAAGTAAGTGGGAGACACATGGATCTACTCAGCTTGATCCCCTGCAAAAGCCCATCTTCCACTACCTTATTCATTAGCATGGTCAAGCTTTTAGTTATCAGAATGAACAAGTAAGGAAATAAAGGGTTCCCTTGCCTAATTCCCCTAGATGGCCCTATTTGAGTTACTTTTTCCCCATTCACCACAATATTGTACCTAACTGTAGAAACACACTGCATAACTAACTTAACCCACTTAGGGTCAAACCCCATTTGATTCATCAAAGAACTTAAAAAGTCCCACTCCACTCTATCATCAGCTTTAGTCATATCCAGTTTTAAAGCCATTTGATACCTCTTTGTTCTTATTCTTTGCCTCATAGAATGCATTTGAGCTATTATGACATTATCTTGTATCTGCCTTCCCCCCACAAATGCACTCTAATTTTGAGAAATTAGTTGGTCCATAAAAGGTTGGAGCCTGGATGCTAACAACTTAGAAATTATCTTGTATACAAAGTTGGAACAGCTAATAGGTCTAAACTCTCCAACCTCCTCAGGATTTGGCACTTTTGGGATTAGTATTACATTAGTTTCATTAAGCTCTCTTAACATAAACCCAGAGCGAAAAAAAGACAGAATTGCATCGTAAATATTCTTTCCTAATATATGTCAGTACTTCTGATAGAAAATACCTGACAATCTATCAGGTCCAGGTGCTTTCATTGCCCCCAAAATCCAACGTGTTACGATGAAACTTTAATCGTACAATGACTTTGACATTTGAAACGATGACCGACTTTGCTGGTCTATTTCAAATAATTTTTTTTAGAAAGAGATTTAGTTCAGAGATATAATTAAGGACTTAATTTATTTTAAATTCGTTTGAGTTTTGATGTTAGATTAAGTCTACTTTTAATTTATTGTAAATTAAATCTTCATATTAGGTCATCCAATTGGATACAAATGGTATTTCATTTTTTTTAAGGGTGGTGGTGCCAAGTTTTCAGTCGACAAAACAGCATTAATTTCTGCTTAAAAAGTAAGTGAAGTTGCTAAAAATGGGCATCTTCTTGGATTAATTAATTTAAGGCAAGATTTTAGTAACATTTCTTTTAATTTATTATATCTTCAATGACACCTCCTCTATTATTCGAAACATCATTGATACTCGTTCTATTATCCGAAAAATAATAATTCTTATATATGA